AAGCATGTTTCTCAGGTAGTCCCTGCATTTCACTATTGAGATCAAGTTCATTCAATATAGATAGAGCCCCTGCTCCCTAGGTTCCTGTTCCTTCAGGAAGTGAAATGAATGGGACAGTGACTTGAAAGTTACCTTCAATTGTTTATTCATTCAGCAAGTATTTATTGAATACTTTTTAGCGCCACCCAGAGGAAAGACAATGACAGGTAAAAATGTTGTTTTTCTTGCCCTCACAGTTCTGCTCATGTGGAAAGGAAAGAGAAACTGATAAACACATGTGCATACACATATGCTTGCAGGGGCCTGCAAGAAGATGACAGAATTAATTAGACCCAGCTGGTAGTGGGCACAGTTGGAGGTGGTTACAGGGGAGGGATTATGGGACAGGGTTGACTCAGGATATGGAGGCAGTCAAAAGATGCCAGGTCATGTCCTGGTTGGATTCCACATTAGGGCGCATGCCTGGGTTGTGGGCTCAATCCCCAGTAGGGGATGTGCAGGAGACAGCCAATCAATGTATCTCTTTCACATCCATGTTTCTATCTCTCCCTTCCTCTCTCTAAAAAATCAAATAAGACATTTTTTAAATAATATAAATAAAATAAAAGTGGTCTGTTTGACATTTAAAAAAGAAAAAGAGCCCGGCTGGTGTGGCTCAGTGGTTGAGCGTTGTCCCATGCACCAAGAGGTTGCTGGTTCGATTCCCGGCCAGGGCACATGTCCAGGTTGTGAGCCCAGTCCCCAGGGGGGAGCATGAAGGAGGCGGCCAATCGATGTTCTCTCTCATCAGTGTTTCTCTCTCCTTCTCCCTTCCTCTCTCTCTAAAATAAAGGAAAAAAATTTAAAAAAAGAAAAAGAGATGCCAGGCTAGGGAGGGTGTGGACTAAAGAGAGCTTTCTTTTTTTTCTTTTTTTTTTTTACCTAGCATCATGATTCTTTTTAAGTCCATATCTACTGACCCACCCGATCTCTTTACCACTAACTGTTCTGAATTCTTTCCTTACTGAGCCTCTCATTCCTTTACTCTAGCCCCTGATGCCACTGCTCCAGCCTCATCTCAGCACTCCTTCTTCAGCCATAGGGAATTTTTGTTGTTTTTTTATTAATCCTTACCTAAGGACATATTTCCATTGATTTTTAGATAGAGTGGGAGGGAGAGAGGGATGGAGAGAGAAAGGGAGAGAGGGAGAGGGAGAGAAACATCAATTGGTTGCCTCCTGAACAGCGCCAGTGGGGCCAGGGATCAAACCTGCAATCCAGGTATGTGCCCTTGACTGGGAATCAAACCCTCAGCCATTCGGTCCAAGGCCCAACTCTCTAACTGCTGAACCAGATTAGCCAGGGCAGAGACTTTTCTTTCTGATTTGGGAACAATCCAGATCTGCTCCCCTCACAGGGCCTTTATGCTCATTGTTGGGGCTTCACCTAGCTATTCTCATTATCCTGATCAGAAATTATGTCAAAGTATGTTTATGTGAGTATTGTCCATCTCAGACTGTAAGTTCCATACGATCAGAGGTTTTTCCTGTTTTATTGACTGGTGTACTCTCAGGACCTAGCACAGTGCCTGGCACATGGTAAGTAAATATTTGTTGAGTGAATAAATGACCATTTCACATCAATGGGCATTTCCGTTGATATTAGTTTTTATTTTTATGAACAACTCTATAACAAACCTTCTTACAAATGCCTTTCTTTACTTGACCAATTATTTCCTAGAAGTCAAATTCCTGTTTCAGAAGGTATCTTTCAACCATGGTTTTTTGTAGTTGCAAAAACAAACAAACAAACAACAACAAAACACTTGGAACTTCCGGTCAAGATGGTGTATAGGTAAACGTGGTACTCTCCTCCTCCCACCACCACATCAAAATTACAACTAAATTACAGAACAACCATCATTCAGAACTGCCTAAAATCGATCTGAATGGAAGTCCTACAACTACAAAATTAAAGAAGACACATCGAGACAGGTAGGAGAGGCAGAGGCACAGACAGGCTGGTCCCACACACATGTGTGGCAGATAAAAATCAGGGGGACACCTTGGCTGGGAAGGTCCTCCCTGAGGAGCAAGGGTTCCCGTTCCACATCAGGCTCCCAGCTTAGGACTCCTGTGCCAGGAAAAGAGGTCCCAATACCTCCTGGCTGTAAAAACCAGCAAGAAGAAGCTGCGGCTGCTGGAGCTCCAGGCAGCTCCTCTTAAAGAGCCCACACATGGACTTACTTGTAAGCTCCAGTGCAGAAGGGAGGCAGCACCAGAGACATATGGGGAAGAACTGAGTTGTTCAGCATTAGGGCGAGAGCTGGAGAGGCAGCTCTATCCTGGACCAACGTGCCGGCGGAGGCCATTGTTCCTTAGATGAGCCCTTCCCCTATGAGGCCAGCAGATGGAAACCATATCTGGGACTCCAGAAAACTGGCTCACACTGTTTGCCCCACTCTGGTGATTCTCTGAGGTCCTGCCCCACCCAACTTTGGAGCCCACCCAAGCTGTTTCCAATGGCTTTACCATAGTATTGGCTGGTTTTGGCTCCTGCTTTAGATTTTCCTAAATTTTCTCAAACAAGCAGCTTCTGGCTACAGTAAGCCCCATACCTCTTGCTAAGTGGCCCCAGGCCGGCAATAGAAGCAGCCAGCCTTGGCTCAGAGCTTGGCTTTGCCCAGCACAAGAAACAGCCACCAGCTGATCGCTTTGTAGGTTATGCCTGGTGGTCCCAGACAGAACACAGGCAGTGTTCCAGAGCCAGCACACCCAGTGGACAGCTTCAGACCACATCGAACCACCACCACCCAACCACCTCCACAAGTGACACACTCAATGAGTGGACTCAGTGAGTACCAGAGCCCTGTTGAAGTAAGTCTTGCTCTCTGTGGTGGGCCCCTACACAGCTGGTCCTCCAAGGTAGTGAGAGGTCGGAGGTCAATGGGCATAGCCAGTTCTTGCAGCGTATCGGCTGGAGTAAAACCCTCTCATTGACGTGCCAACAGAAATCAAGACTCAATTACAACAGAAGGGTGTAAAGTCCTCAGGAGGAGTGCTCCTCGAGGGCCCAGCTGGAGTGACCAGGGAGGCTGTGCCATTGGACCCTACAGAACACCTACTACAATAGGCCACCCTAGGAAGCCCAGAGACATAGCAACTCTACCTAATACATAGAAACACACACGGGGAGGCAGCCAATATGAGGAGACAAAGAAACATGTCCTAAATGAAAGAACAGAGCAAAACTCCAGGAAAAAAAACTAAACAAAATGGAGATAAGCAATCTAACAGATACAGAGTTCAAAACACTGGTTATAAGGATGCTCAATGAATTAGCAAGAATTTCAATGAAATTAATGAGGACCTCAATAGTATAATAAAGGACCAGTCAGAAATGAAGGCTGAACCAACTGAAATAAATAATAATTTACAGGGAATCAACAGTAGAGTAGGTAAGGCCAAGAAGCAAACCATCAATTTGGAATATAAGGAAGCAAAACATACCCAATCAGAACAGCAAAAAGAAAAAAAGAATTAAAAAAAATAAGGACAGTATAAGGAGCCTCTGGGACAACTTTGAGCATACCAACATTCGCATCATGGGCATGCCAAAAGGAGAAGAGAGAAAAAAGAAATTGAAAACCTGTTTGAAAAAATAATGACAGAAAACTTCCCTAACTTGGTGAAGGAAACAGTCATACAAGTCCAGGAAGCACAGAGAGTCCCAAACAAGATGAAGCCAAAGAGGGTCCACACCAAGACACATCATCATCAAAATGCAAAAAGTTATATGACAAAGAGAATCTTGAAAGCAGCAAGAGAAAAGCAGTTAGTTACCTACAAGGGAACTCCCATAAGACTGTCAGCTGATTTCTCAAAAGAAACTTTGCAGGCCAGAAGGGAGTGGCAAGAAATATTTAAAGTGATGAAAAGCAAGGACCTACAACCAAGATTACTCTATCCTGCAAAGCTATCATTTAGACTCGATGGCCATATAAAGACTTTCCCAGACAAGAAAAAGCTAAAGGAGTTGCTCACCACTAAACCAATATTATATGAAATGTTGATGGGTCTTCTTGAAGAAGATAAAAAGATATGAACAATAAAATGGCAATAAATACATATCTATCAACAATTGAATCTACATACAAAATGAGCAAGCAGAACGAAACAGACTCAGAGATACAGAGAATGTTTGTTGGTTGCCAGATGGGAGGGGGGTTGGGGGAATGGGTGAAAAAGTTGAAGGGATTAAGAAGTACAAACTGGTTGTTAGACTGAAGAACTTCAAAGGGAAGGGGGGAGGTGGGGTGAGAAGAGAGAAACCAAATAACATATGCATATATGCATAACCAGTAGACATAGACAATAGTGGGGGGAAGGCAGGAGTGGGGTGGGAGTAGGTAGGAGGGGGTCAAGGGGAGAAAAAGAGAAACATCTGTAATTCATTCAACAATAAAGGTAAGTTTAAAAACAAAAAAAAACACTTGGGCCCTGACTCGTTTTGCTCAGCGGTAAAGCATCAATCAGCCCGTGGACCAATGAGTCCCAGGTTTGATTCCAGCCAAGGGCACATACCTCGGTTGTGGTTTATCCTGGTCCTGGTTGGGGTCGTGCAGGAAGCAACCAGTCGATGTGTCCCTCTCATGTCAATGTTTCTCTCTCTCTCTCTCTTTATCTGAAGATAAATGGAAAAATATCCTCGGGTGAGGATAAAAAAAAAAAAAAAAAAAAAAACACTTGGAAGACGCTTCATCCTTGACCCTTTGAGGAACTGGTTCCAAGAACTGAAAAGCTGCTAACAACGCAGACATCATCTTTTCTCCCCCTCCCTGCCTCCTCTCTTTCCCTTCCGCTCTCTTTCCAGACAGTTCACAGTATACACTCCACTCACAGACCACAGAATCTCAATTCAAGCCAGCTGGAATAGATAAGTCCCAATTATCAACTCCTGGGAGAAATAATTTGATTGGTGCTGTTTACTCAAATGTCCACCTCTGGGCCACTCAGCTGGGGATGGGTGAGGGTGGAGAAAATCAGTCAGCAAAGGTAGCTGCTGAAGCCCATCCTGAGATGGGTCCCAGAAAACAGGGCTGGCTTATGAACTAGGCAAACACCCCGCAAAGTGACTGCTGCTTGTTTTAGGCATCAGTGTGTATTTCTGAGTTCTCCCTGAGGAGGCTTTGCCACCCTCTCACTACCTCCATGCACATGCAGTGGTGTATGACTTATGGTTGACTAGGCCACATTAACAAATGGACACCAAAACTGTGGTGGATAAACACAGTAAGTTGTTTCTCTTGCTCTTATAATAAGAGTCCTCGGAGGGACTGAGGTCAGCAGGGCAGCTGTCCTTGGCATTGTCATTCAGGGACCCAGGCTTCTGTTGTTTTGAAGTTCTGTTACGGTACCTCGGTCCCAGTTGGTCCCCAGCCCTGGTCAGGGTGGTGCAGGAGGCAACCAGTCAATGAGTCCCTCTCACGCGATGTTTCTCTCTCTCTCCCTCTCTCTCTGAAGATAAATAAAAAAGTGTCCTCGGGTGAGGATTAAAAAAAAAAAGTGAAATCACATATGTTAGTCTTTCTCTGTCTGACCTTGTCCATTTCACTGAGCATAATATTCTTTAAGTCCATCCATGTTGTTGTACATAGCAGGTGCTCAATGAATATTTATTGAACAAATGAATGACTGCTAAATGAAAAAAAAGTATCATTTTTTAAAAAATCCTCACCTGAGGATACTTTTCCATTTATCTTCAGATAGAGTGGGAGGGACAGAGAGAGAAACATTGATGTGAGAGAGACATATCGGTTGGTTGCCTTCTGCACAACCCCGACCCTGGGACTGAACCGCAAACCAAGACACATGCCCTTGACTGGAATCTAACCCAAGACTCTGGTCTGCGGGCCGATGCTCTAACTGCTGAGCCAAACTGGCCAGCAAAATGATACAAAAATAGTATCATTTTAATTAGTATTCCTTTGATTATCGGTGAAGAGTATAATTTCATGTTTATTGGCAATTTGTGTAACTTCTCTTCTGAATTTCTTACGTTCATTAACCATTTTGTGAGGGGTTTGGAATTGAGTTCAGCTTTATTTTTATCCCCCCCCCTTTTTTTTTATTTTAGAGAGAGAGAGAGGGAAAGGGAGAGAAAAAAAACATTAATTGGCCACCTCCTGCATGCCCCCTATTGGGGATTGGGCCCACAACCTGGGCATGTGCCCTGACTGGGAATCAACTGGCAACCTCTTCGTGCATGGTTTGACATTCAACCACTGAACCACACCAGCTGGATGAGTCCAGCTTTGTTATGTAGAGTTTGGGGTACTAGTGGGCAGCCAGATAGACTGAAACTATTAGTTGCCTGAGACTGTTAGTTTGTAAATCACTCCAGAAACAGCAGTCGGTCATTAATTTCTGCATGGTGCTTCAGGCACTTTGGGGCCTTGCAAAATATAGCTTTACCCTCCCTAAGGTGCATCTCAGCATTCTGTCAACATCTTTTTTATTTTTAATCCTCACCAGGATATTTTCCCATTTATCTTAGGATAGCGTGGGAGGGAGAGATAAAGAGAGAGAGAGAGAGAGAGAGAGAGAAACATCGATGTGAGAGAGACACATAGATTGGTTGTCTCTCTCATGACCCCAACCAGGGCCAGGGACCAAACCACAACCAAGGTACATGCCCTTGACTGCAATTGAACCTGCAACTCTTTGGTCCTTGGGCCGATGCTCTAACTGCTGAGCCAAACTAGCCAGGGCTCTGTCAACACTTTTTAAACTTAATATTTTTGTTTGTTTGTTTCTCAGGCTTATGGTGAGGGCTCTGATGCTTATTATAGATGCCATATCCAAAAATTAAGCCTGCTGCAGGGCCATTTCAGAGATGTCACCCAGGTATGGTTGTTTGAGAAGGGGCATGATTATGTTGCCCTACTTTCTCCTTGAGTGTGTAGTGGAAATATATGGTGAAGTCCCTTAGATTTCCAGGTCTTCCAATGCAACAATTAGATACCCTGGAAAATTTTCCCACTGAAAATAATTTAGTTTTGGAGACCAGGTGCCTTCAGAATGGTAAAATAATTGAAAATGCTAGCTACAATTTTTTAAAATATTTTATTGATTTTTTTTTTTTTTTTTTTTTTAGAGAGAGAGAAAAACATCAATTGGCTGCTTCCTGCACACCCCCTACTGGGGATCCAGCTGCAACCGGGCATGTGCCCTGACCAGGAATCAAACTGGTGACTACTTGGCGCATGGGACGAAGCTCAACCAACTGAGACATACCAGCTGGGCAATTTTTGTTTTTGTTTTTTATTTATTTATTTTATTTTTTATAATTTTTTAAATTGATTTTTAGAGAGAGAGGAAGGGAGAGGGAGAGAGAGAGATAGAAACATCGATGAGAGAGAACATTGACTGGTCACCTCCTGCATGCCCCACACTGGGGATTTGGCCCACAACCTGGGCATGTGCCCTGACTGGGAATTGAACTGGCGAACTCTTAGAGCATGGGTCGACGCTCAACCACTGAGCCACACTGGCCGGGCCAATTTTTTAAATCAAAACTGAATTAAACCTTCACTCTCAGCTTTGAGACATTGGTCCAATTTTAAGATTTTTTTTTTGGTATGTGCCCTAAATGGGAACCGAACCCAGGACACTCTGGTCCGCAAGCCAACACTCCAACCGCTGAGCCAAACCGGCCAGGGCTAAGATGTTTTTTTTTTTAATCTTCACCCAAGGATATGTTTTTTATTAATTTTAGACAGAGAGGAGGGGAGAGAGAGAAAGAGAAAGAAACATCAATGTGAGAGAGAAATATTGATCGATTGCCTCCCATATATACCCTGACCAGGAATCGAACCCATGACCTTTCAGTGTATAGAATGACATTCCAACCAACTGAGCCACACCAGCGAGAGCCCAGCTACAATATTTTTAATGCAGTGATGAGATGACAAGACAATAAATAATTATCAGAAGTAAAAAATGAAGCAAAAGCCAAATTCCACCTGGACTATGAGGGCAATGGAAGCCTACCACCCTAGAGCTTTCATTTAGGCTGGGAGTGGTGCAGGAGACAAAGACAAAGCCTAAGCCTAGTGCTCACTCGATGTGGGAAGGTCATTAGGAGACTGCCACATAAAGTTGAGTCCCCAAAGAACTATACCCTCAGTGTACAGATGAACTAGAAATGCACCCCCTCTGCAGCAGGAAGCCAGCCTGTGTTGACCTTGGCATTGGCTGAAGAGGGAGAATATTGCTCCGGGATTTTTTTATATGTTTTTATTGAATTTTTAGAAAGAGAGGAAGGGAGAGAGAGATAGAAACATCAATATGAGAGAGATACATTGTTCAGCTGCCTCCTGCATGCCCCCAACTGGGGTTCAAGTTCGCAACCCGGGCATGTGGCCTGACTGGGAATCGAACTGGGACCTCTCAGTCCATGGGACGATGCTCAGTCCACTGAGCCACACTGGCTAGGCCTGCTCTGGGATTTTATAAGCACAAGGAAGCTGCCACGTATTTTTTTCAGCCTTTTACATTCACTGTGTGAAAGCTTCAAGCTGAGAATTTATTTTCAAACTGTTCCCAGAAGCAGAGATAAATGTAGCTCCTCTCTGGAGCAAGACATTTCAACCAGGCCTGAGAGAATTCCCACAGATAAAATGCCAAGAAGTACATGTTCACAATTATTAAACACTCAAGGAAGCACGTCCCATGAGCAAAATAAAGCAGAACAACAGACAGAAAAGTCAGACCCACAAAGACTTCAGAATTCATAATATTGTATGTTTACTATATTTCATGAAATAAAAGAAAAGGTTGGTAATAGGAGCAAGAACCTGCAAGAAATAACCGAGTAGTTTAGAAAAAAGAGCCAAAAAGTTTATAGAAATGAAAAGTATAGTCACTGAAACTAACATTGCAGTAGATGAGCTAAATAGATTAAATGCAGCTGAAGACAGAATCTGTGAAATAAAAGATAAACCTGAAGAGATTATTCACAATGCAGCATAGAAAGATAAAAAGGTGAAGCCCTGGCCAGTTTGGCTCAGCGGTTAGAGTGTCGGCCTGCAGTCCACCAGAGACCCGGGTTTGGTTCCTGCTAAGGGCACGTACCCCGGTTGCAGTTTGTCCCTGGCCCTGGTCGGTCGTGTGGGTGGAAACCACTCGATGTGTCCCTTTCATATCAATGTTTCTCTCTCTCTCTTTATCTGAACAAAATATGGAAACATGTCCTCAGGTGAGGATAAAAAAAAAGAAAGATAAAAAGGTGGAAAATATGAGTTGAGAGACATGGAGGGAACAGAGTAGAATTCCGGCAGGAATAAAGACAAAGGCAATATTTGCAGAAAAAAGAACTGAGCATTTTCCAGAATCAAAGGTTTACATTCTTAGATTCAGGAAACACAATAAACCCCAAAATAGACAATGAAATAGTAGATGTAGGAAAACCTAATGAACTTACACAAAAGCTACTACAGCTAATAAGTTAATTTAGCAAGATCACAAGAATACAGGATCAACATACAAAATTAAATTTTATTTTCATATAAATGCAGTAAACCATTGGAAAATGATTTTGAAAATCAAATGTCATTTATAACAGCATCACTAAGTGAAATACTGAGGATTCCAAAATGGCGGCAGAGTGAATGGAAGTCACACAGACCATCTCCCAGGACCAAACTGCAATTACAACTAAAATAAAGACAAATCATCAGGAAAAAGCAACAGAAAAGCAGCTTGCGAGGACCATATAACCAGGGACACTGACTCGATCCTGGGAGGACTGTGGAGGAACGAAAAGGGGCTGGAAGCTCATGAACAGCAGCAGCCTTAACTATGAGCAGCGCCCTCAGGGTTACACTCCCAAGTGGCTCCACAGCGCAGACCTGGGACAGACACTAAAATAGCCACAGCCACGCACCTTGGGCTTCAGCAGACGGAAGCCTGACTAGACTGGAACTGTGTGCGGACACTCGAGATTTGGAGGGCGCTCAGAGGCTTTGCTGAGTTGCAGCCACGCAGGATGGTGGCCATCTTACTCCTTCCCAGAGCTCTGGGGAGAGGCGGCAGCCCCTCCCTCGAAGATTCAACCCCACCCAGGTGGGCCATTGAAATGCAAATTGAGGCTCACTAACAACCAGCATCTGCCCCACCCTTGGGAAATCCTCTTACACAGAGCACCTGAGGAAGTTTTTCATTCAACTGAGAACCCAAGGCTCTTCAAGTAACCGCTACTGATAGCCTCCAGGCAAAAAGCTAGAGGATAACTGTACCATTCCTGGGCTAGCAACTCTAACCAGGAAAGTAAGACTTGACAGTGGTGCTTAGCGTGGGTCCTCCCTCACTCTTCCAAACCTAGGAGCCACAAACAGCAGAACACCAACACCACAGGGAAAATTTGGCAGGCTCCAAAGCCCACTGTGATAGCCAAAATGGTGAAACACAGAAACAAAAGCCAAATGAAAGAACAAGAGAACTTTACCAAAGATGAGATAAATGAGGAGCAGTTAAGCAAGTTAACAGAGCTAGAATTCAGACCCATGATCTTCAGGAAGCTCAACAGCATGAGTAAGGACATAGAGATGTTGAAAATCAACCAGTGGGAAACTAAAAGCCACCAAGAAGAAATGAAGAATGACATAGCAGAAATAAAGAACACATTGGAAGGTCTAAAGAGCAAAGTAGAGGAAGCTGAGGACTGGCAGTGAATTAGAAGATAGGGTAGAATAAAATCAACCAATCAGAAAGCCAAAAGGAAAAAAAAAACAATTAAAAAACAGGACATCAAACAGATTAAGAGAACTGTGAGACAACTGGAAACGTAATAATATTCACATCATAGGAGTCCCTGAAGAAGAAGAAAATGAGCAAGGGTTAGAGAATATATTTGATGAAATAGTGACAGAAAACTTCCCTAATTTGGTGAAGGAAGAAGGCATTCAAGTTCAAGAGGCACAGAGAGCCCCAAGTAAGAAGAACCGAAACAGGCCCACACCAAGACACATAGTAATTAAAATGCCAAAAATTATAGACAAAGAGAGAATTCTAAAAGCAGCATGAGATAAGCAACAGGTTACCTACAAAGGAACCCCCATAAGGCTCTCAGCTGACTTCTCAACAGAAACACTACAGGCCAGAAGGGAATGGCATGAAATAATCAAGGTCATGAAAAACAAGACTACTCTACCCAGCAAGGCTATCATTCAAAATAGAAGGTCAAATAAAGAGCTCCCCAGACAAAACAAAAGGCTAAGAGAATACATTAGCACCAAACCAGCACTGCAAGAAATGTTAAAAGGTCTGCTGTAATTAGTAGAAGAAACAGGAAGAAAAATATAACCACGCTAAACAAAAATGGCAATAAATAAGTACATATCCTTAATCACCTTAAATGTAAATAGAGTAAATGCTCACATAAAAAGACACAGAGTAGCTGATTGGATAAGAAAGCATGACTCATCTATATGTTCTTTACAGGAGACCCACCTCACAACAAGACTAACATAGGTTGAAAGTGAAGGGATGAAAAAATCTTCCAGAAAACAAAAAGCAAAGAAAAGCTGGGGTAGCAATACTCATATCTGATAAAATAGATTTCAAAATGAAGGCCATAACTAGAGAGAGAGAAGGTCACTACACAATATTGAAAGGATCTATCCAACAGGAAGCTATAACCTTGATAAACATATATGCACCTGATATAGGTGCACCAAAATATATGAAAAATCTTTTGGAGGACTTCAAAGGAGAAATCGACAGCAATACAATCATAACAGGGGACTTCAACACCCCTCTGACCTCACTTGATAGATCCTCTAGACAAAAAAATTAGCAGGGAAACAGAGACTCTAAATGAAGCACTAGACCAAATGGATTTAATAGATATCTACAGAGAATTACACCCCAAAACTGCAGAATTCACATTCTTCTCAAGTGCACATGGGACATGCTCAAAGATAGACCACATGTTAGGACACAAACTAAGTCTCTACAAGTTCAAGAAGATTGAAATCATATCAAGAATCTTCTCAGATCACAATAGCATGAAACTAGAAATCAATTGCAACAAGAACATGCAAAGACATTTCAACCCATGGAGGCTAAATAGCATGTTATTAAACAATGAATGGGTTACCGAGGAGATCAAGGAAGAAATTAAACACTTCCTGGAAACCAATGTAAATGAACACACAACAACACAAAATCTATGGGATGCACCAAAAGCAGTTCTGAAAGGGAAGTTCATAGCACTACAGGCCTACCTCAAGAAACAAGAAACATCTCTAATAGACTATCTAACCTCACAACTTAAAGAACTAGAAAGCAAACAAAAAGAAAACTCCAGAACAAGTAGAAGGAAGGAAATAGTAAAGATCAGAGCAGAAATAAAAGGCATAGAAACCAAAAACACAATTTGAAGGATCAATGAAACAAAGAGCTGGTTTTCGAAAAGACAAACAAGATTGATCGACTCACCAAGAAACAAAGACAGAGAACCCAAATACACAAAAGCAGAAATAAAAGAGGAGAAGTAACAACTGACACCACAGAAATACAAAGGATCATTAACAACTACTATGAACAATTATATGACAACAAATTTGACAATCTAAGCGAAATGGACAAATTTCTAGAAACACATAGTTTCCCAAAACTAAACCGGGAAGAGATAGAAAACTTGAACAGACCAATAACAACTAAGAAAATTGAAGAGATAATCAAGACACTCCCCACAGTCAAAAGCCCAGGCCCGGATGGCTTCACGGGGGAGTTTTACCGAACATTCAAAAAAGAATTAACACCCATTCTCCTCAAACTATTTCAAAAAATTCAAGAAGAAGGAAAACTTCCAAACTCATTTCATGAGGCCAGCATAATTCTAATTCCAAAACCAGAAAAAGACACTACAAAAAAAAAAAAAACTACAGACCAATATCCCTGATGAACATATAAGCCAAAATCCTGAACAAAATATTAGCAAATCAAATCATGGTAAAAATTATTTACCATGACTAAGTGGGATTCATCCTGGGAATGCAAGGCTGGTACAATATACGCAAATCAATAAATGTGATACACAAACAAAATAAAAAATAAAAACCACATGATCGTATCAATAGATGCTGAAAAAGCATTCGACAAAATCCAGCATCCATTTCTGATAAAAATGCTCAGCAATCTGAGAATAGAGGGATCATATCTCGACATAATAAAGGCCATATATGAAAGACCCACAGCTAACATCATATTCAATGGGCAGAAACTAAAAGCATTTCTCTTAAGAACAGGAATAAAACAGGGATGCCCACTTTTGCCACTCTTATTTAACATAGTAGTGGAAGTCTTAGCCACAGCAGACAGGAGAAAAAAAATAAAAGGAATCCAAATTGGAAAGGAGGAAGTGAAACTGTCATAATTTGCAGATGACATATTATACATAGAAAACCCTAAAGACTCCATCAGAAATCTACTAGACTTAATAAATGAATTTGGCAAAGTAGCAGGATACAAAATTAATGTCAAGAAATCAGCGGCATTCTTATACACCAATGATGAACTCACTGAAAGAGAAACCGAAAAAACAATCCCATTTACCATTGTGACAAAAAAATTAAGATACCTAGGAATAAACTGAACCAACGAAGTAAAGGAACTATTTGCAGAAAACTGAAGGGCATTGAAAAAAGAAATAGAGGAAGATATAGAAAAGTGGAAGCACATACCTTGTTCATGGATTAGAAGAATTAACATCATTAAAATATCTATATTACCCAAAGCAATCTATAGATTCAATGCAATACCCATCAAAATACCAATGACATATTTCACAGAACTGGAAGAAATACTTCAGAAGTTCACATGGAACCCAAAAAGACCCCGAATAGCCACAGAAATCTTGAAAAAGAAGAACAAAGTAGGTGGGATTACAATACCAGACATCAGGTTATACTACAAAGCGACTGTAATCAAAACAGCCTGGTACTGGCACAAGAACAGGCATATAGACCAGTGGAACAGAACAGAGAACCCAGAAATGGACCCAAGACATTATGCTCAATTAATATTTGACAAAGAAGGCAAGAGCATACAGTGGAGTAAAGATAGCCTCTTTAATAAATGGTGTTGGGAAAACTAGACAGCTACATGCAAAAAAATGAAACTAGACCATCAACTTACATCATACACAAGAATAAATTCAAAATGGATAAAAGACTTAAATGTGACCCATGAATCCATAAAAATCCTAGAAGAAAATGTAGGCAGCAAAATTTCAGACATCATAAGCAGCAGAATTTTCACTGATACATCACCTAAGGCAACAGAAACAAAGGAAAAAATGAACACATGGGACTACATCAAACTCAAAATCTTCTGCACAGCGAAAGATACAACCATCTCCCACTGTATGGGAGAGTATCATTGCCAATGATACATCAGATAAGGGGTTAATTTCCAAAATATATAGAGTACTCATACAACTCAACAAAAGGAAGACAAAGAACCCAATTAAAAAATGGGCAGAGGAGCTGAATAGACACCTCTCCAAACAGGACATACAAATGGCCAAGAGACAGATAAAGAAATGCTCAACATCACTAGTCATCAGAGAGATGCAAATTAAAACAACAATGAGGTATCACCTCACAACTGTCAGAATGGCCGCCATCAGCAAATCATCAAACAACAAGTGTTGGCGAGGGTGTAGAGAAAAGGGGACTCTAGTATACTGCTGGTGGGAATGCAGACTGGTGCAGCCACTATGGAAAACACTATGGTGTTACCTCAAAAAATTAAAAATCGAATTGCCATTTGACCCAGAGATCCCATTTCTAGGAATATACCCTAAGAAGCCTGAAACACCAGTCAGAAAGAATATATGTACCCTCCCCCCATGTTTGTAGCAGCACTATTTACAATAGCTAAGATCTTGAAACAGCCCAAATGTCCATCAGTAGACGAATGGACAAAAAAGTTGTGGTACATGTACACAATGGAGTACTATGCAGCTGTAAGAAAGAAAGATCTCTTATCCTTTGAGATGACATGGAGAGATATGGAAAGTATTAACCTAAGCAAAACAAGCCAAGCAGAAAAAGACAAACAACCCATGATCTCACTTATTTGCGGAATATGATGAACATAACAGTCTGAGGAATAGGGTAGATCCAGAGACATGGAAATAGGGTACAGACTGACAACCCTTGGAAGGGGGGGGGGGGAGGGAGGAGATAAACGACCGAACTTATATGTATGTACACATAACCAATGGACATGAACAACAAATCCAGGGACGGGGTGGTGGGGATGGGGAAGAGGGTGTCAATGGGGTAAAAAAAGAGAAACATCTGTAACAAAAATTAAATTAAAAAATAAAATTTTAAAAAAATAAATGAAATACTTATATACCCAAATAATGTGTATAAATATACCAAATATAACTAAATATAGGCATAAATATAACCAAAAAATGTGTAAGATCTGTTCAGTAATAACTATAAGACATTGCCAAGAGAAATTAAAGATCTAAATAATGAAGAGATATAACATGTTCATGGATTGGGAAATTCAATATCATTAAAATGACAGTTCATCCTAAATTGATTTTGTAGTTGACCTAATCCCAATCAAAATTCCAGCAGCCTTTTTTTTTTTTTTGTAAAACTGACACATTCATCCTAAAATTTATATAGAAATGCAAAGGACCTAGAATTGCTGAAATAAATTTGATAAGAAGAACAAAGTTGGAAGACATCTACAACCTGATTTCAAGATTTACTATAACAGTAATCAAGAGAATATGACATTGGTGCAAAGCTAGACATACAGATACATCAGAGGTGAATGAATAAACATTGTATCATATTCACACAATGGAATGCTACTCAGCAATCAAAAACACTAATAAGTGAGCCCTGGCCAGTTTGGCTCAGCGGTTAGAGCGTTGGCCTGCGGTCCAGAGAGACCCGGGTTCGGTTCTCGCTAAGGGCACATACCTCGGTTGCAGTTTGTCCCCAGCCCTGTTTGGGTCGTGTGGGTGGCAACCACTCGATGTCCCTTTCACGTCGATGTTTCTCTCTCTCAATCTGTTCCCCTCTCTCCCTCCCACTCTACCTGAACGAAAAATGGAAAAATGTCCTCTGGTGAGGATAAAAAAAAAAAAAGATTCACATATGGCCCTGTGTGATGGGGACATCTCCATTGCTCGTGGGAAGGACTCCCTATGCTACAGGAGTCCAGATGACATTAATTTCTGTATTCTAGGCCCTAAGTAAGGTATGTGTACACGTCTTATTTATCTTCACAATCACCCATGCAGTATTATCCCCATTTGTGGATGAGCAAATAGTAATAATCCCAAAGTCACACCATCACAATGACAGCCAGTCATTGGAAAAGCCAGGATGCAACTGTGGTCTCTCTAGGTTAAGCATCTGCCCTTTCTGGGTCACTTTTCCTGTTGATTGAGGGCTCAACCAGGCTAAATACGAGGGAAGAACATTCCTATTGCTCAGGCCTTCTGAACTGCTAGAAGATTACTGAGTCACATCGAAACAATAGCTAAAATATTAAGTTACTAAATCCCCGCATCCTGCTCTTCTCACCTGCCTGTCTTTCAGTTTCCTAGTCATTTTATAAAGGATACATGTACAATCTTTCCCTAAGGTCTCTGGAAGAAACTGTAAACGCTGAGAAAAATGAAGGTCCTGGGCAGGCTGAGCATGTGAATCTGCAGGTAAGCCAGCATCACCTGTGTCAGCCCAGCCACCTGGGCCAGCTCCGTGGTATGCCTTAAGCATACACCACTTTAACACACCAGTTCTTCTTGCATATTTGGGTCTGCATTTCCAATTTTGTCCACTTACAGCCTTAATTTTACATCATTCGTATCATAACATACTGTTTGCATCCTGGAGTTTTCACATGTTTCTATATAGTTTTCAATTATTTTAATTTTTAAAAACCATCTACAGGATATAATGGATGTGCCAATATTTATTCCTTTATTGCACATTTAGGTTGTTTCCAAACTTTTGCCACTATAAATATTTGATTTGTTGTTGTAAATCCTTACCCGAGGATATTTTTCCATTGATTTTAGACAAGAGTGTAAGGGGAGCCCTGGCTGGTTTGGCTCAGCCGTTAGAGGGTCGGCCTGCTAAGGGCATGTACCTCGGTTGCAGTTTGTCCCTGGCCCTGGTTGGGTCGTGCGGGTGGCAACCACTCTATGTGTCCCTTTCACATTGATGTTTCTCTCTCTCTCTCTCCCTCCCACTCTATCTGAACAAAATATCAAAAAATGTCCTCGGGTGAGGATTAAAAAAAAAAGAGTGGAAGGGGAGGGAGAGAGAGAGAAGCATCGATGTGAGAGAGACACGTCAATTGATTGCCTCCCATACAACTCTGACCAGGGCTGGGGATCAAACCTGCAACCCAGGTACGTGTCTGTGACCAGGAATTGAACCCACAACCCTTTGGTCCATGGGCCAATGCTCTAACTGCTGAGTCAAACCGGCCAGGGCTAAATATTTGCTATTTTTATAACACTTTCATAAGTATCTTTGTGCCTTTGTCATAGTTTGCAACCACTGGGCCAGGGAGCATGGACATTTACAGAGTTTTTGACAAGTTGTGCCCTGCAATTTTCCCAAGGTGTGTTGCTGTGCACTATCACTAGTGGTGTCTCAGGGCGTATGTGTCCCATTACCATCCAGCCAAATGCCTTTTCTGGAGTTGGGTAGACGTGGGTCCTGAGTTCCTCAGGCCCTAGAGTTGGGGTGGGGATTTTCAGTAGACGTGCCTGCTTTCCAACTCTGAGAATAAATTTATTTCCCAATCCGGTAGGGAAAAAAAAAACAGCCCTCGGAGAACTGCCGGCTGAAGTATTTGGAAAGAGGCTCTAAAGAGCTGGGGCTGGAAGGAGGTGTGTGTTTCAACAGATGGCCCTCAACCAAAAAAGAGAAGTCAGATGCTCCTTCCCACCTGCCTAGAAAATGGTGCCAACCGGTCACTAATCTAGCTCGTGCCCATGCTGACCTAAGGATGGGGGACTGATGAGTGACCTGTAGTGGCCAACATCATGAGAGAAGCCTCAGTGGCGTGAGCCAGTGGGCTCGTCACTGCTGGGCTCTCCTTGGCCTGGCCAGGTACCAGGTGCTGCTGGTATTTAGGTGAGGGCTGGGCAGGATGCCAGCATAGGCACCTTTACTATGCTCATTTAAATCTGAACATCTAGACTGCACTGACCTCAGGGAAGAATTTATTATATGAGCAGAGTTGGCAAAGTGAAGTGTGGCCAAAGCAGCTGATAGGACTGAAAGCATTTAGCCTAGAGCAAGAAAGAACTGACCTTTATAGGTTTCTTCTCCAGACAGTGAATTTTCTTTTAGGGATTAACTTTAAAAAAAAATTTTTTTTAATTCATTTTAGAGAGAGAGGAAGAAAGAGGGAGAGAGAGAGAAACATCGAGGAGAGAGAACATCAACATCCTGCATGCCCCCCACTTGGGATTTGGCCCACAACCTGGGCATGTGCCCTGATCAGGAATTGGACCAGAGACCTCTTGGTGTATGGGCCACAATGGCCGAGCAAGACATAGTGAATTTTCTGAGGCACTGCCTCATCTAGACCAGGTGCCTCTTATGGAGCAAGTGCTTATTGTGAGATAGATTTCAGTTCAAAATAAGAACTTTCTAGCTACTATAAGCCATGAGCAGAGAAATGGACTGCCTTGGATGTTACTGGGCAGCTTCGTATTGGCAGTGGGTCAGGAACTGAGCAGCCCCCTAGGAAGCTGTACAGGATAACAACGTTCTGTCTGTGCTGGGCATCATACCAAGTGACTCAGTGGTGATAGGACTATATTCTTTTTTTTGTAAGCATAATGCTTTGTGGGTTTTTTAATTTATATTTTTATTGATTTTTAGAGAGATAGAAACATCAATGTGAGAGTGAAATATCGATTGTTAATTACAGTTACTGCATGCTCCCTACAGGGGATCAAGCCCCAAACCTGGGCATGTGCCCCAACCAGAAATTGAATCAGCAACTTTTTGGTACATGGGATGCTGCCGAACCAACAGAGCCACATTGGCCAGAGCCAAGACTGGTTTCTCTCTTATTTATTTATTTATTTATTTATTTATTTATTTATTTTAAATTAATTAATTTATTTTTGTTACAGATGTTTCTCCTTTATCCCCAATGATTTCGCCCTCTCCCTCCCTCCCTGCCCTGTCCCCAGCTTTGTTGTCCATGTCCATTGTTCATGTATACATGCATATAAGTTCTGTAATTTATCTCTCCCCCACCACCCCTTCTTCTGGGGAGTCAGTCTGTACCCCACTTCCACGTCTCTGGGACTATCCCATTCCCCAGACTGTTATGTTCATTATATTCCACAAATAAGTGAGATCATATGATACTTGTCTTTCTCTGTTTAGCTTGTTTCACTTAGAATAATACTTTCAAGGTCCCTCCATGTAGTCTCAAAGGACAGGAGATCTTTCTTTCTTACAGCTGCATAGTACTCCATTGTGTATATGTACCACTGCTTTTTATCCATTCGTCTACTGATGGGCACTTGGGCTGTTCCCAGATCTTAGCTATTGTAAACAGTGCTTCTGTGAACATGGGGGTACATATATTTTTTCTGATTGGTGTTTCAGGCTTCTTAGGGTATATTCCTAGAAATGGGATCTCTGGGTCAAATGGCAATTTGATTTTTACTTTTTTGAGGTAACACCATAGTGTTTTCCATAGTGGCTGCACCAGTCTGCATTCCCACCAGCAGTGTACTAGAGTGCCCTTTTCTCTACACCCTCGCCAACACTTGTTGTTTGATGATTTGCTGATGGCGGCCATTCTGACAGTTGTGAGGTGATACCTCATTGTTGTTTTAATTTGCATCTCTCTGATGATTAATGATGCTGAGCATTTCTTCATATGTCTCTTGGCCATCTGTATGTCCTGTTTGGAGAGGTGTCTATTTAGTTCTTCTGCCCATTTTTTAATTGGGTTCTTTGTCTTCCTTTTGTTGAGTTGTATGAGCAATCTCTATATATTGGAAATTAACCCCTTATCTGATATATCATTGGCAATTATGCTCTCCCATACAGTGGGTAACCTTTCCATCATGATTATATCTTTCGCTGTGCAGAAGATTTTGAGTTTGATGTAGTCCCATGTGTTAAGACTGGTTTCTTTCTTTTTTTTTTTTTTTTAATCCTCACCCGAGGACATTTTTCCATTTTTTGTTCAGATAGAGCGGGAGGGAGAGAGAGAGAGAAATATTGATGTGAAGGGACACATCGAGTGACTGCCACCCGCACGACCAACCAGGGCTGGGGACAAACTGCAACCGAGGTACGTGCCTTTAGTGGGAGCCGAGCCTGGGTCTCTCTGTACCGCAGGCCGACGCTCCAACCACTGAGCAAAACCGGCCAGGGCAAGACTGGTTTCTTGACAGCACCTTCCCTCTTGCCAAGAGATGGAGCCAGAGCATGGTCTATCAGCCATGTAATCTTTTTTTTTTTTTTTTTTTTAATCCTCACCCGAGGACATTTTTCCATCTCCTGTTCAGGTAGAATGGGAGGGAGAGAGAGAAAGAAACATCAAAGTGAAAGGGACACACCGAGCGGCCACCACCCGCACGACCAACCAGGGCCAGGGACAAACTGCATGTGCCCTCAGCGGGAACCGAACCCTGGTCTCTCTAGACTGCAGGCCAATGCTCTAACCGCTTAGCCAAACCGGCCAGGACACCACCATGCAATCTTGATGGCCAGGTCTCGGGGGACTCTGAGTTCACCTTGGAAACCCAGAAGGTCAGTGATTGAGGAAACAATTTCTATTCTGATCCAACTAACCACTGAGTGCACACACGATTTTTTATTTTTTTTTCAAATCATTATTGTTGAATGTAGGATGTATTACAGATGTTCCTCATTTTTCCCCCATTGACCTCCTCCTCCTCACTCCCACCCCCCTCCCGCCTTTTCCCACACTATCGTCTGTGTCCATTGGTTATGCATATAAGTTATTTGGTTTATTTCTTCCCACCACCACCCCCAACCCCTTTCCCTTTGAGGTTTGTCAGTCTAGCAATGAATTTGTACTTCTTAATCTCTTCACCTTTTTCACCCATTCCCCCAACCCCCCTCCCATCTGGCAACCAACAAAATGTTCTCTGTATCTATGAGAATGTTTCTGTTCTACCTGTTCATTTTGTTTGTAGGTTCCATTGTCAATAGATATGTATTCATTGCCATTTTGTTTGTTCATATATTTTATCTTTTTCTTGAAAAAGACCCTTCATCATTTCATATAATAACGGTTTGGTGGTGATGAACTCCTTTAACTTTTTCTTGTCTGGGAAAGTCTTTATATGGCCATCACTTCTAAATGACAGCTTTGCAGGATAGAGTAATCTTGGTTGTAGGTTCTTGCTTTTCATCACTCTGAATATTTCTTGCCACTCCCTTCTGGCCTGCAAAGTTTCTTTTGAGAAATCAGCTGACAGCCTTATGGGAACTCCCTTGTAGGTAACTAGCTGCCTTTCTCTTGCTGCTTTTAAGATTGTCTCTTTGTCTTGAACCTTTTGCATTTTGATGATGATGTGTCTTGGTGTGGGCCTCTTGGGGTTCATCTTGTTTGGGACTCTCTGTGCTTCCTGGACTTGTATGTCTGTTTCCTTCACCAAGTTAGGAAAGTTTTCTGCCATTATTGTTTCAAACAGGTTTTCAATTTCTTGTTCTCTCTTCTCCTTCTGGCACTCCCAAGATGTGAATGTTGGCACGCTTGAAGTTGTCCCAGAGGCTCCTTACACTATCCTCATTTTTTTGGATTCTTTTTTCTTTTTGCTGTTCTGATTGGGCGTTTTTTGCTTCCTTATATTCCAAATCGATGGTTTGCTTCTTGGATTTCAATAGTCCTCTACTACTGAATCTGTGTAAATTATTCTTTATTTCAGTTAATGCCTCCTTCATTTCTGACTGTGCATCCATCGTTTCTGACTGGTCCTTTTTTATGCTCTTGAGGCCCTTACTAAATTCATTGAGCATCCTTACAAGCAGTATTTTGAACTCAGCATCTGTTAGGTTGCTTATCTCCATTTCGCTTAGTTCTTTTCTTGGGGTTTTGTTCTGTTCTTTCATTTGGGACCTGTTTCTTTGTCTCCTCATTTTGGCTGCCTCCCTGTGTTTGTTTCTGTATATTACTTAACGAGAGGTATGGGGCTAGCTGAGACCAGATGCTGCTCGTTTGAAAGAATTTAGGAAAAACCTGAAGCAGGATCCAAGACAGGCCAATCCTATGGTTAAGCAAATGGCAACAGCTTGGTTGGGCCTGAAAGTTGGGTGGGGCGGGGCCTCAGGGAGTCAGCAGGGCGGGGCTACCAGTGTGAGCCAGGTTGCTGGAGTCCCAGGTATGGCGGCTGTCTGTCGCCCCAGGGAAGGACTCACCAAAGGAACAAAGGCCTCTGACAGCACATTTGTCCTGGAGAAAACCCCCTCTCCAGCCCTCGCTCCAGTGCCAAACAGCTCAGTTCTTCCCTGTATGTCTCTGGTGCCCCTCGAGCTGCCTTCCCTCCAAGCTTAGAGGGAGAGAGTCCGATAAGTCCGTGCACGAGCCCTTTAAGGAGCTGCCTGGGCCTCAGTTCCTGCTGGTTTTTCCAGCCAGAAGTTATGGGGATTCTCGTCCTGGCACTGGAACCCTGAGCGGGACACCTGGTATGGTACGGAGACCCCCTCAGTCCTCAGGAAGGACCTTCCCAGCCGAGGTGTTCTCCTGATTTTTATCCGCCACACGTTGGTGTGGGACCAGCCCCTCGCGTCTCCGCCCCTCCTGCCTCCGCCCCTCCTACCAGTCTGGATGTGGCTGCTGCTTTAATTCCGTAGTTGTAGGACTTCCATTCAGGATGATTTCAGGCGGTTTGGAATGATGGTTGTTCTGTAGTTTAGTTGTAACTGTGATGTGGTTGTGGGAGGACGCGAAACCGTGTTTACCTACCCCGCCGTCTTGACCGGAAGTCTCACACAGGATTTTTTTTTATTTTTTTTATCCTCACCTGAGGACATTCTTCCATTTTTTTGTACAGATAGAGTGGTAGGGAGAGAGAGGAAGAGAGAGAGCGAGAGAAACATCGATGTGAAAGGGACACGTCGAGTGGCTGCCACCCGTACAACCAACCAGGGCCGGGGACAAACTGCAACCAAGGCACACGCCCTCAGCGGGAACTGAACCCGGGTCTCTCTGGACCGCAGGCTGGCGCTCTAACCACTGAGCCAAACCGGCCAGAGCTCACACAGGACTTTTTAATTATCATGCTTTATCAACAACTGAAGTTGAGACTTCCTTACTACCCCCAGAAAGCCCAACTTCCCACCTGGACGTCTTATCTCTCTGTCTGAAGCCAATTCCTTTCTCTGGCCTGCACCATTTACCTGCAATGCTCATCCTCTATATTAACTCCTGGTCAAAAGGGTATTTTGATGTTTCAGAGGCATGACCAGTAGGGCTTTTTTGACTCAGGATCATTTCTTAATTCTGTGTGGAGTGCCTTTAGCAGACTGTCCAGCGTGGGCCCTAACCTGGGTCTCCAAGGAACCATTTCCATCCTCGCCTTCATGGAGGCAGTTGTGTTCTTGTACACTGAGGCATCTTCTTTGCCCAGGATCTGCCCTTGTTTTTGATGCCTCAAATCTAGCAGAGCCCACTGCACTCTTAGGGCCCAGAACACAGGTTTTACTTTATGCTGTCATGAGAGCCATGGGTGCCCACGCAGAAAAACTCTGCTGGGCATCTTGTTACAGCCACTCCCCAACACAGACCAAGGCCTGGACAGTTTCAGGCGGTGGCATAGAGCATTGGCTCAAAGCCAGGAGGCAGAAGCCAAATGTTGGTGTTGCACTCACTATGTGACCCAAGTAAGGACAGGGTCCCAAATCTCCAAATTATAGAATAATGTTAATGACAGTTACTGATGGGCCAGTCCCTGAGCCAAACATTTCACCTGTGTTATCATGTTTAATGCTTCCCCCGAGCCTCTTGTGTTTTAAAGGTGAGAAACTAGGCTAGCTAAGGTTCTCTGAAGTCACTGCAAGCCAGTGGCAGAGCTGAGTCAATGACAGCAGACCACAGAGCTCTTCCATACTGCCTGGGAGTAGTGACTCAGGATCCTGCCTGTCATTGCTTTCAAATTACTTTGTAGGTAGAACCCAATTTTCAATGCATCTGGTTCCTGAGGTAGAGAGAAGGCCAGGTCCCAGTGCCACTGGCATATCCCACAGGAGCGAGCCTCTATGCAACCATTTACACAGCCTCAAACCCCTCAACATGGTTGTGGACCTTCCCATGTGCCTGGCAGTGAGCAGGCAGGATGGTGTCTACGTCCCTTTGCAGATAGATGGCTTCTAGGTCTCTCCCAGCTCACCCCTCCTCTCAGGCAATCCCTTACCTGATTGTAAGGTCCCCAGAAGATGTGTCTGATTACATAGCTTCCTTTTTGGGAAAGCCTGGTCGTGGGATTTGGCAGAGAATTTGGAGGGAGATAAAGGGCATTTATTCGTTCTGCTGTACTAACCCTCAAAATCAAAGTATGTCCCTAGTCTGCAGACTGAGGACTAGCTAGTAGACAGAGTACAGAGCAGAAAGCACCAGAATTCAGAAGGAGAGGCAAGCACAGCGACCCTTCTCTTCCTGTCCCCTGGTCCTGCCAGACTACTGGCACTCATTCTTCTGAACACAGGATGTGGCCATCTCCTGCTTTTGTCTCCATTGCAGGATTATGCTGGCCTGGCAGGGAAGGTCAAAGAAGGAAGCAGTCATGAGGACCGGGACACCAGGAAGTTCACTGGTCCTTGGGTGGAACCACTGTGTCCTGCACAGCAGGTCAGGGCCAAATCTTCTAAATGGGAACGACTTTTTCTGCCACCTGAAAACAGCTCACATGTAGACACAGAGCGCCCGACACCCCTGCAGAGGGACCCCAGGGCATCTGAGGCAGCACAGGCTGAACAGGGGACCCCTAGGGCTAAAACAGCAAAGGACAGGGGGACTCAGCAGGACACCTAGTACACTCCAGCTTCCTTGGGCCACACACACTCCTATGTCTGGGCCCAAGAAGCCCTTCAGGGAGACCCTAAAGCAGTGAGGGACATATGCCCTCAGGCAGAGGGTGGGCCCTTGGTCAAAGGGACACAGGATTCGCAGCTCATGCTACAGTGTGACCTCTTTAACACTGGCAAGGATTTTGATGATGTTCTGTGAACTGAGACTAGTATGTTATTATGTAGATGTGTTTGTTACATGAGCCCTTCTCCACCAAACCTGTCACTGCAAACAAGATGCCCAAGGTGTTTTTAATTAGTAGAACTGAGGAGAATTTATGGAAACTACTAAGAACTGACAATAAACATGACTTTCAAACAGATCATCTCTCATTGCAACATCTTTGATTAAGGTGCTTATACCATTTAGTTACAGATGGTTTACAGATATGCTAACAGAATGGCTACAAAGGGATCTTCTTACTTTAAAAATAGGTGACACATTTGGAAATGAGAGAACCATAATGGCTCAGTAACCACCATCAGTTCCCCTGTCACCCTTCCTATTCCCAGATATGAAGCCCCGTCCTGGGCTGTCCTGTCCTCCAGTACTTGCTCCAGGACAGCTTCCTCCTTCCTGACAAGATGTTGGCAATATTCCAGCTAAATTTGGAGTATATAAGGTTTCTAGCAGAAAATCAACTACATTTCAGTGTTCTATTAGTCATTTTAAAAAAGAAAAAGCAGACAGCCATTAGGCAAGATGTATTCTGAACTGCTGGTGTAATCCTGGTGGGCAGAGAGCAGTTAAATAAGGTGGATGGCCTCAGCATCCTCCCCAATGAGGAGCCTCGCTCTGCCCCAAGATGCCTACCAGCCCACCTGGGCTACAAGAAGCTGGACACCTAAAGGAAGCCGGTAAACACTCTTCAGACATCATCACATTTGGAACTCCTTCCTCGTGTCACTTGTCCTACTGCTCTAAGTAGCTTTATGCATCCCACCCCCCTCCCCGATTCTGAAAGAAGAATGCAGAGAAACTAGCCCTTACAGAGGCGCTGGAATTCTACACTAGCTCAACACAACTATGAGATAAGTGAGGGGACAGATAATCAGAGAGCAAAAACTGTCACAAGGGCAGTGGGTGCTTTGAATACTGGATGGTGTCCAGGGCAGCCCCAATGTCGTAATTCTTGGTCTGTAGGAGCCTGGTGAGCCAGCCGCCTTCATCAGAGAACCCCATGGACAGCATCTGGGAGAGGGACTCAATGAGCCGGGGGTCAGCTTCTGCCAGAGAGAGTAATGAAAGCAATGAGGGGTAGTCACTGGGCCCCAAGTTTGACCCGCAGGCAGCAGCATCCTGCCCAGCCAGCAAGTACCCAGTGCCTCCAGGGCCAGGCCCTCCCCCAGGGTCTCTAACCCTCACAGGGATACTCCAAGGCAGGGATTGGCAAGCTTTTTTTGTAAAAGGCCAGAAAACAAAGATTTTTAAGCTGCTTTTGGTCTGTCACAACCATTCCATTCTGCTGTTACATCATAAAAGCAGCCAGACAATATATAAACAAATGAGCATGCTATGTTCCAATAAAACTTGTATTTATGAACACTGAAATCTGAATTTCATCTAATTTTCACAGGTCTTAACTTTTTCTTTAAATATGTTTTTATTGATTTTTTTACAGAGAGAGAGAGCGCGGGAGAGAGAGATAAAAACATCAGTGTGAGTGAGAAACATTGATCAGCTGCCTCCTGCACGCTGATTGAGCCCACAACCCAGGCATGTGCCCCAACAGAATATTGAACCAGGACCTCTCAGTCCATGGGACAACACTCAATCCACTGAGCCATACCGGCCGGGCAGGTCTTAGCTTTCTAATGAAGGAGGGAAATAGACTGAAAGTGGGGCCTCCTCATTTATGTATATATTTATTTTATATTGAGTTTTAGAGAGGAAGGGAGAGGAAGAGAGAGAAACATTGATGTGAGAGCAAAACACTGATTGGTTGCCTCCTGCACACCTCCTACCAGGGATAGAGCCTGCAACCTGGGCATATGCCCCAACCAGAATTGAACCGGCGACACGGGACAACACCCAACCAACTGAGCCACACTGGCCAGGGCCACAGGTCTTAACTTTTTAGACAACCACTATAAAAATGACATCCTGGCCAGGTGGCTCAGTTGGTTGGAGCATTATCCCATACACTAAAAAGGTTGTGGGTTTGACTCCTAGTCAGGGCACATACCTAGGTTGCAGGTTTGATCCCAGTCAGGGCACATACTGGATGCAACTGATTGATGTGTCTCTCTCTCATCGATATTTCTCTCTTTGTCTCCCCTACAGTGCCCCTTCTAAAAAAAATCAGTAAAAATAAAAAAAATATCCTCAGGTAAGTATTAAAATTTTTTTTTGAGAAGATCTTTCTTGGCCCATAGGCTATAGTTTGTCTCCCCTGCTCTAAGACAGAGAAGATAGACACTGGGGGCCCAAGGGCCACACTTGGCCCACAGAGGAGTTTTCTCTTGAATACTATCTTCAACAACATTGCCATGTGACAGTAATGAACGGGAGCAGAGTATCAGCTGCCTCTTTTATTCAGTGTATGCTCTCTGGCTACCACAGTCCTCACCTGGTCCTGCTGCCTTTCATACCACCTACTTCACATGGCAGCTTCCTGCCTGGCTCCTACAGGAACCTTGGCTGGGGCCCTGTTAGGCTGGCACTCTCCATAAGGAAACAGTGAAGGCAAACTCGGAGTCCACTTTTAGTGGTACATGGCAGTGCCAAAGCCAGTGCCACCACTACATCATTTCTGCCTTCATAAATGCGGGTCTAGATGTTAAGTTTTAGAAGTTACTATAATTAGTTACACTTACAAGGGCTCAGTATAGACACAAGAGGACAAAATCAACTCCTAATTTTCTCTCGTGTCAATACATAAGCCCCACGGTAGAGAATAGGACTTTTTGTGTTGCTCAAGACAGATGACAGGATGCTCTGAATGAAAAAGGTAGAAATATAAAACTGCTTAAAATCACTTGCCTGGTGGTAGATGTGGGTACACTGCAGCTTCCTTCAGCCCTGTAGGTCCCTCCTGGGAAGGGTCCAGAGAGCTTGGCCCTTCAGATTCGGGCATCTGTAGAGACTGGAGTTCACCTGTAGATGGGTCCACTTCTTTTGAAGACAAATGAGTCCAGTCATCGTCTCCTCCCGAGCAATTATCAGACTCCATCTGTTCCTGGAACAAAACCTCCATGAGCAATAGGCCATGTGCAACAGGCCCAGCAGACTATAGCCTCAATTCCTAGAAGAGTCCACATATGAAAGACAGACTGGCAAGAAGCTAGAGGAATATTTTTCTTTACAAAGTGCTAGTGGAGGGGGTCACAGAATGACTTATATGCCACAGACATAAATCTGTGCCAGAACTGGGTTCTGGCTGTGTAAGTGCTGGGGAGGAGCCGTGGCTGGTATGCTAGGAGAAGCAGGAGGGTGCTTGCCTCAGGCTGTGCACCCGACTGCAGAGTTATCTTGTTCATTTTTTCCATAAGAGACTGTGCTGCTCCTTCCATGACACTGTCTGGTTTGCTGAGGTCAGAAGAACCGCTTCTTGGCTGAGAGTTGCACTTCTTCTCTGTGCTGGAGCTGTCTGGAGAGACGGGGGTCAGGCGGTTTCTTTTCCCTCCATGTTCCACATCAATATCGACCTCAATGCCTAGAAGCGAAGGCAGAAACAAAAGCCTGTAAGTCCTTCAGAGGGTGAACTTGCCAGCTTACAAAGCACTTTCACATTCAGCCCCATGAGTGTGGGACAGTCGGGATGCTGGCATTCACTACAGACCTTGAGTCACACTACCAGTACAGGACTCAGTCAGGATGGCAGCTACCAGCAAGAAGGTAAATAGGCCCAGCCAGGGTGGCTCAATGGACTGACCATCTCTCCCATGGACTGAGAGGTCCAGTTTCAATTCCCAGTCAGGGCATGTGCCCGGGTTGTGGGATCCATCCCCAGTGGAGGGAGTGAGTGCTGGAGGCAGCCGATTGATGTATCTCTCTCATTGATGTTTCTCTCTCTAAAAAAAAAAAATCAATAGAAAACATATTTTAAATTTTTTTGAAAAGGGGAAAATGGATGGTCAGTCATCTTTGACCTTCAGGATCCCAAGGGCTGAACTGCTCCCAAAATCCTAGCACCAAATCTTCTTGGCTTCTAGAAAAACTCTTCTTGCAACTTTCTGTTCCTTCAACTTAATAAAACATTAATCTCAGTTATGTCCCAGGTCAGTTTCAGAGCCAGTAAGTCCAGAAAGAGACCTTGTTTTTCCCTAACCATGCAGGACAGATCTGTACAGCTAACAGGGCCAGGACCTAGAAACCAGTGAGAGCCAAATACCACATGTGGCCAGAATGCTCCATCCTGGTGCTGAGGACCACAGGAAGCATCATGCTTGTATAGGGGTCAAGTGAGGTGAAGACCACATGTATTAAACACTAGAATTCTGCTTAGGCAAGTAGCTCTGCAGGTTTGTATGAGGCCCATGAGGCTAGGTGCACAGGCAGGTGTGTCCACCTCCAGTCCCTCCCACTCTGGGGCATATGCTCACTGAAGGGGAGGGTATAATCACTAGTGCTGGGGGGTTTTTGGGGGGGGGGGAGTTGCTTTCCTTTTTTTTTTTTATTGTTGAACGTAACACAAATGTCCCCCTTTATCTCCCATTGACCCCTCCTTCCCGCTCTAGTGCTGTTTTAAATTAATTTTAATTTTTGAAAGGACTTAGAGCCACAAAGTTCCAAAAGGCTGTAGAGGATCCTTGCACCCCCCCCCCCCCCCATATAGCCCAGCCTCTCCAGAGATAACTTCCAAACCATGCTGCTGCTTCTGTTTTGATTGCTCAAGTTTACTGTTCATTTCTTACTGTAGATCAACACTTACCTCCCCTTCCCCTATTCTTTCAAAAACTCAATTTTGGATGAAAAAAACATTTTGTTTATATTACTGCCACTATATATTGTTCTTTGCTAGATCAAGTAGTGGACTTACTTCTTTGTAGAAGTTTTTGTTTTTGTAGCATTTATGATGCCCCCCACCCCCTTTTCTACTTGCTAGCTTTCCCCATTTCCTCAAACAAGTTCTCTAGAGTTTTCTACATGGGTTCAGTGTATAGGATCCCCGTCAGCTCTGGTTTTACCCTGGAGGCCATCTCCCTGAGTTACCAGCCTTGGGCTTCGATCTGGCCTGGTGGCTCTCTGGGCCAGAGGCATAGCCCTTGCACTGTGCCCACCTTTCCTTTCCTCCTGGCAACTCCCTCTATCTCCCTCCTGTGTTGGGTCCTGTTTGCAAACACCTCTTTCTTCATTCTGGGTTTATTTCTTCATTTTGGCCCCAGTGAGTTTTCAAAGCTCAGGTAAGATGATCAACCCCTTGCATACCAGACAGCTTTGTTCTGCCCCCACATTACTATTTTAGCTGGGTATCAAATTCTAGGTTGAAAACCATTTATCTTAGACTTCTTAAGTCTTTGCTTGTGCCACTGTCTTCTAGCTTCCAATGTTGTGCTCTTTGAATTGCCAAGCCTTTACAGTACCGTGGGGAGGTTCAGGAACCTCTATCCCAAGGGTTCAGACACTTGACAGTGATAAGCTTTGGTATAGGGTACTTTTATAGTCATTGTACAAGGCATCAGGGGTCGCTTTCAATCTAGAGATTAATGTCCCTTCAGTTTTCTCTTTCTGGAATTCCTATTCATCCTATGGGGTCAACCAGGATTAATCTTTGAGTTTTCTCATCTTTTCTCTCCTGCCTCTACTTCTTTTGCTTTGGAATGTTTCCTTGAGATGACCTTAAAATCTAAACCTGTTTTTGAAGTTTTCTTTTCTTTTTTTTTTAATTTCCAAGAACATTTTCATCCTGTTCCCTTTTGTCATTTTTATGATATTCTGTTCTTTTTTCATAGATACAAATACATTTTTGTCTCTCACTGAGGATGTTAACATTCTCTTCCCTGTTACATATCCTTTCCCAAGTTCCTTCTTTCCCATGTTTGGAGGTTTTCCCAAATGGTTGGTAAACTGTGGTTGTCCGATCCTAGGGAGGCACTAAGAAAAGGCCAATAGGAAGCACTCTCTGTGGTGCCATGAGTTTACATCTGCAGGTGACGGGATATTCAGCCAGGCATCAGGATCTGAGATGGCACAGCTGTTGGACTCTACTCTGGCACATTCAGCCTCTCCAGAGCAAAGACTCCCTAGCTCCTGTTGGTCCCACTGTTCATTCATGATGCCCAATTTCAGGGTGGTGCCTCATCCTGCCCTGTGTCCTTGCTGTCTCTACAGCTGAAGTGTCTCTGGATCAAGTGCTCCAGGTCTCCTGCGAGGGTTGGCAAGGGCCATATTTTGGCTGTGAAGTCTCTATGTGATCCTTCACTGGGGTCTTCAACCCATCCCCTGGTTCCCTTGCCTCCTTGGCTGGGCAGCTGGCCTTGCTTTTCACCAGAAACTTCCATGTGAATAACCAACTCTGTTGGTTGCCACCCTCCATCCATTTCTCATTTCCAAAGTTGGATGGCATCATCTTATCTTGCCTTCTATTACTTTTCTCCCTTTTTCTTTGTCCATATTGTTTTAAACTTTTTTTGTTAATCCTCACTCAAGAATATTCTTTTCCACTGATTTTTAGAGAGAGTGGAAGGGCGATTGGGGGGGGGGACATTGATGTGAGAGAGACACATCAATTGGTTGCCTCCCAAATGAGCCCCAACTGGGGCCAGGGATCTAACCTGCAACCCAGGTACATGCCCTTGACAAAGAATCAAACCCAAGGCCCTTCAATGCTCGGGCCAATGCTCTAATCACTGAGCAACACTGGCCAGGGTCCTTTAAACTTTTTAATCCCTTTAGTGTTATTTTAGCAAAGTTTGAGGAGCAAGCAGAAATAAAAGCAGGCTTAATTATCAGTAACCTCATCTGCAATATTTAAATTGTTTTTCTCCTTACATTTTCCCCCCAACTTTATTATGAAAGGTGCAAACAAACAGAAACATTGGAAGAACAGTACAATGAAACCATGTACATTCTCACTTTGCTGAGTGGATAAATGACGTGACTCTTCTATAAATGGACCAGAGAGATTGTAGAACTAGGGTTTCTCCAATTTGATGATTAACCCAAGGCTTCAGGGCTTACCATAGTCTGTGCCCTACTGCCTCCAAAACCTCTGTGTGTGTGTGGGTTTTATGGAACACCTCATGAAGAGGAAGGCCTTGCTGTGCTATGTCCTAGATGTGACTTCAAGCGAGGAACATTCCTGGGCCTTGGTGGACCCACTTGGCTGGTTCAAACAGCAACTATCAAAAAGTGGTCTTGCACCTGGCCGGTGTGGCTCAGTGGATTGAGTGCCATCCCATGGATTGAGAGGCCCCGGTTCAATTCCTGGTCGGGGCACATGCCTAGGTTCCAGGCTCAATTCCCAATGGGAGGCATGAGGGAGGCTCACATTGATGTTTCTATCTCTCTCTCTAAAAACTCACTAAAAACATTATTTTGTAAATGGCTTTGGGTTTTTAAAGTCACTGACTCACTGCACACAGACTACCCTCTAAGACTTGGTGTTGGTTCAATCTCCTGTAGACCCTGCTCTGGGAATAGTCCCTTCTAGGCAGCTGGCAGTGTGAGTCATCTTAGCTGTTAGTTCCTCATAGAAAACACCCATAATTCCAACAGCAGAATTTAATCAGTCCCTTGTTTCCTCTAATGGCTGTCAACGAAACTACTCAAAGGCATATTTTACTGAAACTTTTCCTCCTTTTATAGGCTCCTCCCTAGTTGACAGAAAGCAACCCCACCCACTTTGAAAGACCTGAAAAGGCCTTTATCCTTATTCCAAGAGACTTCTGAGTACTTCCAAAATTATTCCCACATGTCCTGAGTGGGGAATCCAGGTCAAGTTCTGAAACACACCACAAGCTCAAAAGGTGTCAAATGGACACAAGTGTGATCCAGAGTCACCTGGGAAGCCTTCAAAATACACAGCTTCCAAGACCCACATACCAGATTCTGGAAGGTAGACCAGGGATTAGCACTGTGTAACCTGGACCTAGACTTGATTTTGGTTTCCCAGGTTGTCTTGTCTGTTCTTTCAGGGACAAGGACTGTTCCAAAGAATAAGTAATTTTAATAAAGTTTCCAGCCCTGGCCAGTCTGAGTCAGTGGTTTGAGCATCGGTCCAAGGACTGAAGGGTCATGGGTTCCATTCCTGGACAACGGCACATACCTGGGTTGCAGGTTTGATCCCCGGCCCTGGTTGGGGTCCTCAGGTGAGGATTAATAAAATAAATAAGTAATAATAATAATAATAAAGTTTCCAAAATAAAACGGCCTTTGTTGCTCAACCAGCTTGAGAACAGTTGTCCGTTTACTATCTTCCAAAGAACAGTTCCCATGGCCCTTAATCACAGCCCATTCGATGGATGACCATCTCTAAAAATTCCACTCACTCACCTTCACTCTGTCTCAAATGAGTGGCAGACAGACCTTAGCACAGCTCATCTCCCAATTATAATCTAATCACTGCTCTGCTATTTTATCTTCCTTGGGAGCATTAAGAATATCAACTGTTTTTTCTTATTCTCTCAAAAGCCTTTAACTCTAATACAGAAACCATGTGTGGTCTGAGCTGTTTCATGAAGCAGCAATGCCAAGATGTCACTGCTGCTTCAAAGCTATATCTGGGGGTAGAATGAGCATGAGCAGAAATGTCTCAGGTTGGTCCCGGCTGATGTGGCTCAAAGGATTGAGCATCGTCCCATGGACTGATAGGTCCTGGTTTGATTCCTGGTCAGTGTACATGCCTGGGTTGTGGGCTCGATCCCCATTAGGCGGTGTGTAGGAGGCACATCTCTCTCACATCGATGTTTCAATCTCTCCCTTTCTCTCTAAAAAAAAAATAAATAAATAAAAACTTATTTTTTAAAAAAAGAAATGTCTCAGGTTGAAGATGATGGCAGTCATTTCCTGTATGCCACAGGGTGGATGGTGGGTGGGGTGTGGGCACCCTCTTATCATTCTTTCAGACACTGTATACAACTTTTGGACAGACTGGGAAGACACTTCCTGCCTCTTCAGTCACAAAGATGAGCTCTCTTCTAGTCTGAGCTCATGGATCTGTGGTAATCTTGACCCAGAAGTCACCTTCTTTAACTGATTCTCACTGCTACAAGGTAAAGCCCTGCAATACCCACATTCAGACTAGCGGATGCAGTGGGTGCTTTCAAAAGCCTCAGAGGTCACACTTGTCACACCACTAGGGGGTACATGCTGCATTTCACTTATCCAGAAACCTACTCTGAACCTGAGGCACTAGAACCTGGAGTCACACAGAACCTTTTCTTCTATTACTCCCTGCTCCCCAGCACTGGCACAAGCTCTGCATTCAGAAAGCACCAGGGAAGGTTGGGGATTGCAAAACAGAGGAAGAAAAGAGAAAAGGCATCTCAACTAACTACTCAAGTCCTGAGGAAACTCCAAGGTTCACATGAGAGGAAAATGTAGACTGTTCTTCCCCCAAAGGACAGACAGGCAGAAGTGGACAGGCCAGCCCTTCAGCCCTTCAACTGAACCTGGTCACCCTCTTTACTGGGATTATTCCAATCAAACCCTGGCTGATTCTCCTGCACTCATGTGGAAAGCACAAAAATTTATCAGGGGCCCTGGCCAATTTGGCTCAGCCGTTAGAGCGTCAGCCCGCGGGCCAGAGTCCTGGGCACGGTTCCCACTAAGGGCATGTACCTCGGTTTCAGTTTGTCCCGAGTCCCGGTTGGGATCGTTTGAGTGGCAGTCACTCGATGTGTCTATCTCACATTGATGTTCCTCTCTCTCTCTTCCTCTCTCTTTCCCTCCGTCTCTGTCTGAAGATAAATGCAAAAATGTCCTTGAGTGAGGATAAAAAAACAAAAGAAATCTGTCAGGGAATTCAACCTTGAGTGGCCTGTGATACAGCACTTGGCAAAGGTTGACTTGAGGCAACCAATCCTTACTAGTCTCAAAAGTGTTCCCATTCCTCTGCAGTTATCTCAGGTAAAAGCCGCAACAGCCATTCACACACCGAATTACCAAAAGGCCCTGCTGGTATCAGAGGATACTTACCCAGGGGGCTGAGGGCGGCTGCCACACTCTCCCCAACGTTCTTGAGGAAATTCACACTGGGATCCTCTGATGGACCAAAATTTTTGATTTTTAAAAAAATAAAAACAATGTTTAATTCAAAATACATTTCTCAATGACCTTGGTGCCTATTACAGTGCTATCACCTTCATCCCATGTGCCCTCCATTCTGGCAGCCTGTATCCCAGCCCTTTCCCTACTCCCTCCCATTCCAGGCCACCCCCTGGGCACCTTCACCCCCCTTCATCTGTGATCCTAGTGATCCGAACCCCGAGAGGGGTTCAATACACACAGTATCAAATATCAATCATATCTAAGATATGTTATTTTCTCCAAATCAAATATCCCTACCTTTGTCCCAAAGAACAAGGTAAATCAAAGGACGCAGGAAGAATAATAAAATCAGAATCCTAAAATCTAGAATGCAAGCTATGTGTATTTTTAACTTTGTGACTGTGTTTGTAAAGACTTGACCTAATTTGGCTCTGACTTTCCTGACAGCTAACACAAGAGAACGGAGCACCTCACAGATATGAAGGTGCTAAATGGTGCTGTGTAGGTCTAGGTTTAGTGCAGGTGAATTAGTAGCCTTGGGCACTTAGGCACCTGTTTTTCTATTTGTAAAATAAAGATAGTGCTCCGCCCTCTGCAGGGTTTGGTAAGGATTAAATAACCTCAGTGGCTGTAAAGTGCCCAACCCAGCCACAGCAGGAATGTGAGTCATGGGTAAAGCCCTCCAAGCTTTGTAAACCTTCCATCTCACCCTGCAGAAACCAGCAGACCAAGGCTCACCGGATTCTGCTGTGGGGCTGGAGTGGGCATCCCCTGCCCGAGGAGGACGTGGGCTCCAGTTCCCAGGTAGGCCCATCTCCCAGCCAGGCCATCCAAAATGCCCATGTTTCAGCTTCCGGAGCCAGCGGCTGTGAAAGAATCCCTGGGGAAAGAAATCAGAAGGGCAAGTGGTACTAGGTCAGGGGGCTTCTGCCACCCTGAGCCCACAATGCCAGCGGGGAGGCCCTGCTCACCTCAGAGAGATGCCCGAAGGGGCTGGGGAAGGCGAGCTTGCTGTGCTCCCTGTGCATGCCTTTCCCTTCGCAGCCCGCACACAGGTCGTAATCAGGGCAGACGCTGCACTTGTACCGTGTCCCCACCACCGGACCATTGCAACCATCACAGATCACATTGGGGTGCACCATGTTGCGGGGTGCCTCCTGAGCACATGGGGGGCGATGGTCCCGCCGGCACTCCTTCCTCTCTGCAGGGAGGCAGAGAACCATGAGGTGGGGTCCCACAAAGTATTTTCCTTGTCACTACTGCAGGGCTGTCACCACTGTCGGTTAGCAGGACCCTGGTCCCGCTCTCCAGACACTGAGTCCATGTGGAATTCAGTTGCTCATGTGACAGCAACAAAGTGACCCCAGAACCTTCTGGAAAGTTTCCAGTACCTGCGTATTACCTGGGCACATGTGGCCCGGGTGGGAGAGAAGCAGCAGGGAGCTGTGTCTGCATAGCTTTGGTCCTGCCCTTCACTAAAATAAACCCCACAGCACCCCCAAAGTTGCCCCAGCCCATGGCACTTGGTCTGGGCATAATCAACAGTAAACCCAGAGACCTTCTGCCCCTACCCACTGTGTGGACACTGACTCATTTTTCCCCTCTTTGCTTGAGGGATTTCTCTATAACCTCAAGCTGTCTGGTTTTACTTGGTAGGTAGCACCTGGCTGCTGGCAACATCCCAGAGCAGCCCCTTACCTTTAATGTAAATACGAAAGATGTCATCCTTCACATATGACATTGCCATCGTCAGTTCCTCATCACTGGAAAAGGCAACCAAGTCCCCGTCCTCATCTAGATTGTTTAAAAGACAGCATATGAGCATCCAGGGCTTCACACAACTGCTGAAAAGGGCCAAGGTCAGTGCTACAGAAGCACTTTTGGGCTATAACTAAAGCCCACCTGTCTGAGCGAGGGGGAAGCAGGACTGAGGCCAGATTGCTCATTCACTCTGTCACTGCCTGGAAGGTACATACTTCAACCTGAGCCCTGGGTGCATGGAGGAGGCAAAACATCTGTATGCAGGGGCAGCAGCAGTAGTAGCTGGTTACCTGCTGTTGTGCCTCTGGGCCTGCTGCCCCTTCACAAAGGTACTGCCTCAGTTCATATCTGACCAGGCCCAGACCCATCTTCAACTGTGGGAGATCCCCAACTGTGACCAAGCCCCTCCAAAGGCCATGGGCCTTTTGTGGTTTAGGAGAGAAAGTTAGATGAATACATGATGCTTGCTTGCTTCCTCCCCCAGTGAAGCTAAAACTACGGATTTCTAAGTAGTCTCCTTTTTAGATGTTGGCTTAAATGGTTTTAAAGCACCACCATGTACGTCAAACCACACCATACATCTGCAGGCTGGGTCAGTTTTGTGGCCCACCAGACACAAAATGTACCATAAGAATAGGGGCAATGTCAAAAGGCGAAAACAACCCAAACATCCATCAACTAATGACAGATAAGTGCATGTCCATATAACTGAATATTATTTAGCCACAAAAAAAAAAAAAAAAAAGAATGAAGCACTACTAACACTGGTGTACCAGTGAAACATGCTAAGTATAAGAAGCCAGTTGTAAAGACTACACATATATCTATATTTATATGACATGTCCAGAATAAGAAAACCCATTGAGAAAAAGAGTAGATTAGTGGTTGCTTAGGAGGGGGGGGGGGGAGACATATGGGAGGATGGGGGGATTGGGAGGATGGCTAAAGGGTAGAGTGGTGAAAGGTTGAATATGTTAAAAAGTGTACACTTTATTATTTTTTAAAATATGTTTTTATTGATTTTTTAGAGAGAGAGGAAGGGAGAGAGAGAGAGAGAGAAACATCATGTGAGAAATACCGATGTGAGAGATAAACATAGATCAGCTGCCTCCTGCAAGACCCCCAAAACCCTGGCAGGTGCCCACACCTAGAATCCAACCAAGACCTCTCAGAGATGGGACCACGCTCAATCTATCGAGCCACACCGGCCAGGCTAAAAATTGTATGAGTGAAAATTAAATGAGTAAATTGTATGGCACGTGAATTATAGCTCAATCAAGTTGTTACAAAAATAAAACCAACCAGAAGCAGGCCCGGTACACAGGCAGCCCTTCTCAGCAAGGTCCCAGCACTGCCCCGCCCAGGGGCCTGTCTTGGCTGCCTGCCTCCCTCCCAGCCACCCCTCCCCGCCCCACCCTAGCAGCCACCAATTAAGACACTGGGATAGTTCCTGGACTCCTGTTCCACAACGGCACTTCTTAAGGTTTTTATTTTGCTCCTCTGCCCACTACCAGTGGGATAACATCTGGTCTCAGCCTGGTTTTAGACGTTCTGTGGTCTGTCCCTGACCTCTCCTCCCCCAGCCACCATGGGCTGAACGCCAGGCCGAATAGCTCCCCCAAACTTGTTTACCCGCATCATTCCTCTTTCCAGCCGGCCAGGGCTCTTCTGGGGCATGATCTGAAACCCCACCCGGTACCAGCAGGCCCAGACTCGACAGCAGCAAGATGTCATGTTAGTGTAACCTGAGTGGCCGCTGCCAGCCGGCGAAGACACCCAAGAGCACCCTCGCTAAGATCTGCAACGTCATAGCTGGGGGGGGGGGGGGGGGGAGGTTGCCTCTTACGCCCCAGGCCTGAGATCCGCCAGGAAAGCCTTTGCACCTTTGCAGTGCCTGGTCCCACAAGAGCCGGCCTTGGTCACCACTCTTGGTCACTAGGCTAGCACCCGAAGTTGCACTGGGTACCCACGCGGGCCTCCGACCACCCAGTGAGCGGCCGGGCTCCACCGCAGGCTCCACCAAGCCGGTCTAGAGGGAAGGGGCAGCCACCCGCCCCGCAGGCAGGCCTGCGTCAGGACCCTGCGCCGCTCCCAAAAGCGCTCGACCCCCTCACCGCGGTAGTGCGCCTGGAAGCCACCCGGCCGCAGCGCAGGGAACAGGGCGGCCACCCGGCTCAGCAGCCGCTCGCAGGGACCGAGGCCCTCTGTGGCCTCAGCCTCCGCCTCGGGTTCAGGGCTGAAGCAGAAGCTGAAGCGGCGGATCTCGCGGGCCGCGTCCTCCTTTCCCAGAAGGTACGCCTTCACAATGAGCGACGCCATCACGATGGGTAGCGGAGTCAGAGCCTGGCGGGGTTGCGGCTGCAGTGGGCGAGCGGCTTTTGTAACCGAGGCCGGAAGCCGTGCCCCGCCTCTTGGGGGCGGGGCCTCGCGTGTGCGGCCCCGCCCCCCACCGGAGCCGTAGCTCTCAAGCCCCCCTGCCGGGGCCCTGCGCGTGTTGTTACCTCTTCGCCGCCTCCCCAACCATTTCCTCGCGGTCTTCTCCGCCCTCTCATCGCTGACCCTTCTCCTCACTGCCCCCAGTGTACTGGTAATCCCAGGAGACCGGCCCGGCACTCCAACAGCTAGATCTGAACTCGGGCCTGTGCACCTGGGGGATAGAACCAGCAGGGTTCCCTCCTCAAATCTCTCCCAGACCTGGCCAGAGGAGAACCAGGCCGCCGGGGATGCCCCATGCAGGAGGGAGAGGAGCAACAGAGGTCCGAAGCCAGGAAGCTCCCCGAGGGCACCACCGACCAGAACAAACTGGCTCCTGAGGGTCTGTTCCTACCCTGCCACTCTTGACCGCCCCCCATTCTTTGGAAGCAATTAGTTTCCCAGGTGGCAACCCACTCCACCGCCCTCAGCATACTCCATGACCGCCTCTTACTGGGTTGAGGGGCACATGTCCACCTTAGGATCAAGCACCAGAGAAGCTCCCAGTTTAATAGGAGGTTGGGCTTAGAGGTGCTGAAAAAGCACAGAAACCCCAACCCTCACTCAGCTGGAGTGTGAATTAAGGCTTCCTGGAGCCTCAGTAGTCACCAAGTACACACTGCAGTGCAAGACACTCCCCATGGAAGCCTGAATACCCTGTCAGCATGAGGTCTCAGTTCAGCAGGGAATGCCCAAGGACCTGTGGGGTCTCAGGCCTGTTGGCTTCGTGGGCAGCCCTGGGGTCAAACCAACAGCCCTACATCTAGGAACCAAGAAACATGCTTTATGTGACAAAAGTGACCTGTTCACACCTGGCCAGTGTGGCTCAGTGGTTGAGCATTGACCCATGCAACAAGAGGTTGCTGATTCAATTCCTGGTCAGGGCACATGCTCAGGTTATGGGCCCAGTCCCCAGTGGGGAGCATGCAGGAGGCAGCCAATTGATGTTCTCTCTCATCCATGTTTTTCTCTCTCCCTCTCCCTTCCTCTCTTTCTAAAATCAATAAAGAAAAAAAAAGTGACCTGTTCACACGGGTGGATTTGATTAGTCAGGTTTGAAGGTGATTTGCCTGTGGGAATACAGCAGGGGCCTTTCCACAGTGTGGCCAGTCCTTTTCAGAGGTTTTCAGAGAGGGCAAGGCTGTGCATCCCTGCACGAAGCAGCCCTGTAGAAAGGACAGTCCCCTCTTAGGCCCTCCCTGCATCCCTACTGTGAGCCTGGGAAAGTGCCCCCTGCCCACCCCCATGCAGACAGGGTCGGGGACAAAGGAGGGGCAGTACTGTGCAAAGGCCCACAGGTGCTGGAGGGCATGACTCAGCAGCCTGGGAGCCCTGCAGCCCCTGCAGACTGGGCAGAGAGCTCGGCTTCCCTCTCCCAGTGCTCCAGTGTCCCTGGCTGAGTGGCTGGAGGGTACATAAGGAGAGCCCTGTGGTCTGGGGAACCTGGGTTTCAGGAAGGGCCAAAGGCACAGCCTCTATCCAAAGATATGACAAAAATCGGGGGCTGCCTGCAGGACCACTTGACTTTGACAACGTCTGGGACTATCGGGTTTGAGGGAAGGGATGGAGAACAAAGGGAGAAACTGGATGGCAGGAAAGAGCCCCTGGAAAGCAGACCAGGAGACCGGAGCCTCTGGGGAGCCCCAGCTGTGACCTTCCCAGCATGGCCATCTGCAGAGGGCAAGCCCTTCCCCAAGGACAGGAGAGCTAAACCATGCTGTGGCAGGGGAAGCCCCTGGCAGGGCCCTCTAAGACCCGCCTATGCGTGGTCAGGTGGTCAGGCCAGCAGTGAGTCAGCATCCCATGACCTGGAGTCATAACAGGGGAATCCCCAGCCTGAATGCCACCAATCTTGATGACATCTTAACCAGGCAGCCAGGTGGGGGGAGAGGGGCAGCTGCGTGGGCTTCTGAGGGAACCCTGGGAGCCAAAAAATCCAGCAGAGGCCAGGGTAGCAGGGAACTGGCAGTGGGGAAGCCAGACTCAACTAGACTCTGTCCTCACAAACTGAGTTCCCCTTCTGACATCTTCTGTCCTTCCCCTCCCTGGGTTTCAGGGAGTTCCCCCAATCTTCCCTGTGCCCAGTGGCCCCCTCCTCACCTCCAGGGCATGGCAAGCACAAGGGAAAGAAGGGGGTGAAACTTGATGCCTGAATCAGACCAACTATCCACCACCCTGCCATCTTTGGGCAAATGACCAGCTTCAGTTTGCTCATCTTTTTTTTTTTAATCCTCACCCGAGGACATTTTTCCATTTTTTGTTCAGATAGAGTGGGAGGGAGAGAGAGGAAGAGAGAGAGAGAGAGAGAGAGAGAGAAACATCGACGTGAAAGGGACACATCGAGTGGTTGCCACCTGCACGACCAACCAGGGCTGGGGACAAACTGCAACCGAGAAACGCATCCTTAGCAGGAACTGAACGCGGGTTTCTCTGGACCGAAGGCCGAGGCTCTAACCGCTGAGCCAAACCCGCCAGGGCCAGTTTGCTCATCTTTTATTGAGGCTGGAGTGGGATGACTTGAGTGTCCCCTCCCAGGTGATGCCCCCTAGGTATGCTGGTTGTTATTTGGCTGCATTTGGGGGATGGGAATGTCAGGAAGGAGTCTACAGCCAATGGTGGAGGTGAAAGAGTGGGGAGCCTGGAAGAGACCAGATTGGAAACTTTCCAAGGGACTCCGGGAACAGGGGTGGCAGGAGGTCATCTGATTTGGTTTATTGCTGTCGGATGTATTGTAACCATCTCCTCAGTTCCCACTTCCTTCCAGAAAATAATCCCATCCCTTGATAATGGTTTTCTGAAGATCCATGTATTTTCTTTGGGGTATGGAGTGAAGCCTAGAGGTGGATGCTGGGCCAGCAGAGACATGGCCACTGCAGGACTCAGGCTGAGCAGCTCTGGGCCACCCTTGAGCCTGAGGATCACAGGGAATTAAGCTCCTCCAGACCCCTGCACTAGACCCAAGGAATGAGTTTGTTGTACATGTGGGGACAGGGTCGGGGTTGTGGGTAGGGAGCCCTCCAGGTCACACTGGGCTGGGACCCCAATGCCACTCCCTCACACCAGAGGGACAAACCCCCTGCTCAGTTCCTAACCATTCCCACCTGGTGACTTTTCCCCACTGCTTCCCATGGCAATCTCATCATAAATATCAGTGGAGCTTTCCTTGGGCATCTCTTCAGGAAAATCCCCAGGCAATGGATATCACCGTCTTTAAGCCCTTCCTGCAAAAGCCTACAGCCTAGCCAAAAGGTGTCGGGCTATGTGTGTGTGTATTGGGGGGGGGGGGGGGTTGTAAAATGGGCTCAAGTCACCGGGGAAATGAAATAAAACCAGGAAGAGACATGGATAGAGTTAGGAAATACCGAACTGTGAGGCGTGAAATCACTCTGGCCTCCGGTACAGCGGCTGGAGGGTGATAGAAACCATTCCGAGTTTGGCTCCTGGCACTAGACACGGGAGTGGAACTCCTGCGCCCTCCTGAGGGCGCTGAGCTGGAACCTGCGAAGTAAGTTGTCAACAGCATTGCGCACTGGGCGGCGGTGACAGCTCTCATCTACATGCAATGGCGGGAAAGGGAGGCAGACAGAGGCCTAATGCGGGGCCATGTCTGTAAATACCTATCAAAAAACCCAAGATCGGCAGAAACACACACACACATAGCCCGACACCTTTTGGCTAGGCTGTAGGCTTTTGCAGGAAGGGCTTAAAGACGGTGATATCCATTGCTTGGGGATTTCCCTGAAGAGATGCCCAAGGAAAGCTCCACTGATATTTATGATGAGATTGCCATGGGAAGCAGTGGGAAAAAGTCACCAGCGGCGCTAGGGACCTCTTCCTCTGAGACCCCAGCCCTGCTCTCCTGGCCAGGAAAGAGCTTGCAGCCCGGGAGGAAGCGGCTGGGGCTCAGGCCAAGTGGAAGGAGGGCCCCAGAGGGGGCCCGCGGCTCACCTGAAGCGGGTACTGCACCGGATTTCGTCCACACCCCGCCAGAGCGGCATCAATCTGCCAGACCCTTCTGCCCCAATGCGTCCTTGGACTCCGGGCGCTGTGCGGGGGTTCTGGCCCAAATGAGAAACCCGCAGGGTCTCTGGTTTCCCGCAGCGACTAGGGAAAGTGCACCTCTACAATTAGGCTCCACCGGTCGGAAGTGGTCAGGCTGCAGGTCCCCTAAGCGGTTCATTAAGTGGGCTCTGACGAGGGTTCCGACTGGGATGGAGACCTACCCTGGGCAGAAACTGCTGGGGACCGGCCTAACTTTGGAAGGTTCAGGGGTCCGTAGGAGACCATGCAGTGACCCCAAACAGAGCTAGGCGCCTGGGTCTGGCAGACTGGGTGATAATAGCTCAAGGCAAAGGAACAAGAGGAGGCTCGCAGGAGAAGAATGCAGGGGTTCTTGACCTGGCTGGGGCAGCAGAGAGGTCAGCATGACACTTGGCAGGAAGCAAGGGTCCCAGGCAGAGCAGGGAGAGGGTGCCTCTGGGGCCTTGGCTTTCTACTGGGTAGGAGTTTGGGGTCACATGGAGAAGGCGGCCTCTTCGGGTCAGGCTCAGGGCTCTGTCTCTTCTCTCCCCCTACTCCTACCCTCCCACCCCCCACCCCCACCCCTACCCTGAGCCCATGGAAAACCTGGAAAAGTTGTGTGGCTTTGAGATAAGCCTTTTTTTGCTCCAAAGCCTCTGCGAACAGTCGAACAGTCTGCTCCCCTTCTCCCACTAGGCCTTCCATCCTGGACTCAGTTCCTTCATATCCCTTCATACTCATGCCCAGTGGGCACCCCTTTTGCTCAGCCTGTGTTCCTGTACCTGGCATGTGGGGAGCTCAGGTAGCATGTTTGGTGAGGATGGGGTCTTGGGGGTCCTGCACATATTGGACCTAGAGTGTGTCCCCTATTTTGTAATCC